AATGCAGTGATTCACTTAACAACTGAGGCAAGAAAGGTAGTAAAATGGGGCAAAACTCGTTTAACAAATGTCTCACTTAACAACAGAAATTATGGGTTCAAATGTGGTTGTAAGTCGAGGACTATCTGTACCATAAATAAAACTGAGATTAGACAAAGAGCAGGACAGTGATAGACAATGTAAATCTTAACTCTCTATACTTCACTGCCCCTTGTGGTCACTACATTATGAGTTGATGAAGAGTCATAGCCACTGAAGGTCCATTATATGTACTCTTCACTTACACCAACTGTTTGGAGATACCGCCCCTCCAAAGTTACAACCCATCCTTAAAGTTACGACTGCCGCACACACACCCTCACAGTCACAGAACAGCATTTCAGGCACTTGACAACCAGTTTGCATTTACAACCAGTTGCAGCATTCTACAGTCACATGACCACGATTTACAACATTTTTGCTAGTTTTCCAGTAAAAAATGTTCATTCAGCAGAATAGATTTGCTTAACAACCCTGTAATCAAGTGGTTAATAAACATGCTTAACAACCACATGGTTTACTCAGTGATCATGGTGATTTGCTTTTCTACCATCGTACAAATAATTGTAAAATCGAGTCAAGTTATGTGGTGACCCATTTAACGACAACAATGACTTATGACCAAAATTCCAGGCCCAAATGTGGTCATTAGGTGAGGACTGCCTCTAGTCTTTTTTTCCACTCATTTAGGTGGATAAATGGATATGACCAGATACTGACATTGCAAATATGCAGAATTTAAAGCAAGAAAGAATGTCTTTTACATGAAAACCATAATTTAGGATTCAACAAATTAAACAAAAATAAAATAAACATATAATATATATAAATAAAAGAACTAAACCTACCCTGGATTTTGAGTTACCTATTCCCATTTCCATGTCTTTCTGTAATCTTTTCCTTCTGCACCTCAATAACTTAATGATCTTCATGAAGAAATAAAAGAACGATTTGGGACTTGGTACAAGGCTGAATGGGGGTGGTAGGGTTTTTCCATCATCAAAGTACGATAGCCAAAGTTTGGAGCGAGCAAATTTCCACTCCACATCACTGTCATCCTGTGTCAGAAACAAAACATTTTCCACTCACGAGTAATTTTCTTCTTTTTATTATGAAGTAAATGCTGCTACTTTCTCATCTTTTCAGAATTTTGTTAGCCTAACTATAAATGTAAATATCTAGATCTACTGTTTTGCCAGAAAAATCTCTATTTATAGAAAAGTATATTTTAGGCACTTCCAAAAGCTTAGGCCAGGGATAGGCAACCTTGGCTCTTTTATGACTCATGGATTTCAATTCCCAGAATTCCTGAGCCAGTATGGCTCAGCTAGGAATTCTGGGAGTTGAAGTCCAGGAGTCATAAAAGAGCCAAGGTTGCCTACCCCTGGCTTAGGCAAAACAAGTTAAGTTTTTATTATCTTCGATTAAACAATTGACGGCTTTTGATAAAACAATAGAAAAATAATTTTATTTATATTAATCCACACCTTAATTTGATTGCTAGGTAGTACATCTTAAAAATTATATATCTAACAAAAAAAACAAGAAAAAATTGATATAGGGAAATTGATTGGCTATATCAGTGATTCTTAACCTTTTCACCACAGACCCCCTTTAAATACCTTTTGTGGTCACAAACCACCAAGACTTAAGATTTAAATCATAACATTTCTTCAAGCCTTCATGGATCCCCTGTGACAACATTGTGGTCCCCCCCCCCAGGTCCACAGACCATAGGATGAGAACCACTGGGCTATATCCATTTTCACAACTCAGCAGAGGAAACTATCAAAATCAAAATTATTTCTCAGTTCTAAATATATGAATACTATTGAGACATACCTCTATTTCTTGGTATGAGCTGTTAATCATTGCAATCAGCATGTTGAGTAAAACCACAACCATTGTTACATTATATATTCCATATAATACATAACCAATATTTTCAATGAACTTATGATCATATTTGAGGACAACTGATGTAACTTCTGATAAACCAAATATTGACCAAAATAAAGTCTTAAAGCTTTCTTCAACACTGCATGAAAAGAAAAAAAAGCATTAGAACATTATTACAAGTGTTATAGTTTAATTAGCTTAATAAACAAAGTGATAGAGGGCTTAATGCACACAACATAAAATCTTTTTACTGAGAAACTGTGCTATGCCCTATTGTATATGGCCAATTAAATTTGTAGATGTGGAGCTATACTCTTTAACATAGTAAGTCACTATTTCTGATATCTTTAAAAAGCAGATCACATCCTTACAACTTATATTGATTCATTGTCAAACAGAAAATAGTTCCAAATTCTAAAAAATTACCAAACAGCATCACAAGAATGGAGACAGCAATCTAAACACAATATTAATGTCAGCCCATGAACCCAACAAAATCTAATATTATAGTAGCACTATACTGTACTATATATTGAAATATTAGAAACAATTATAGCAAATAAACATAACATAAAATATTAGGTAAATGCAAAGAATACATAAATTTAGAAGTGGTCTCAGTTTTTCTATCAACCATTCTGTTACTTTACAGCTCAAGGTGAACAAACTGGTGCCCTTTTGACAATTTGACAACTTGTACAAATCCTTATATTAACTATTCTAGCTGTATGTAATGTGTGTGGAAGTCTAAAACATCTCAAAGACCCCAGGTTAATTAGTCTTGCAATGACTGATTCAACTGCATTCAAAGTGACAAATGTTAGAGTTGTTTTGTGGTACTGCAGGGCTAACTTCATT